ATCCAGGCCGTGGCAGCTGGGAAAGGAGCCGGCATGTCTCCTGAGGGTGGAGAATAGTAGAGCACACAGACGCCCCTCAGGCAACCACACATATCTGAGGGAAGTCAGGCTGGGCATTAACCCTAGGATACCCTGAGGTATTTCTGAGCCTTTGATGCTCCTTTATAAAATGGGAATGGTAATGGATGGACAGGGTTCTATCCAGGCTATCAGAGATAATATATGCAAAGCCCTTGACACGTGTTCATTCACAGCCTCGCAGAAAGTCCAGCTGTCAGACCTACCTCTTGTGTGACTGTTGAAGGATTAAGAAATTAATTTATCTCACAGGCTTTTGCATTTTGAAAGGCAATGATTTAACATGGGTTCTGGATGGAATTCGGGTCATCAGGCTTGCGTGGCAAGGACTTATCTGCCAACCTATTTCCCCAGCCACAGCGGGTTTATTTTAGATTCACATAGTAGGCATGCCTGTCTAGGGTATAAAATTGAAGAAACTGGACAGGCTTTTCGAAACAATTCAACTGTGTTATTTGGGCCAGAGATCCACCCCAGGAGAGAGGTTAAGTCAGCTGCTTTGGAGGACAGCTGGCTCAGGGAGTAGGACGTGTCTGCTGAGGAAGGAAGGGCCTTACCATCTTGGAAGGACAAGCACAGCAAGTTGTGTCATGGAGACCACAAAAGTGATGGGTTACAAGGAAGAGGCTGACCAGGAAGGAAAAGGAACCTAGGAAATGTCTCAGCAGCAAGGCAGATACAGGGGATGCAGGAGTACAGGAGATGGAGGGGATACAGGGGCTCAGGAGATGGAGGGGTGTGGGGATGTGGGGGTGCAGGAGATGCAGGGGTGCACAGGCTGAATGCCAACAGCAGCAAAAGGAAATGGCTACCTCAGCTTGGGCTACTCACATCTGAGGTCTGCCTTAAGTAGTCCAGTGGGTGCTGGGAATTGAACTAAGGTCCTCTGGAAGAGCAATATATACTCTTAACCACTGGGCCATCTCTCCAGCCCCTGGAGTTTTCTGTTTCCTATATTGTATTTGGAATTTCTACATTGTAGTTTGAGTTAAGTAGTCCTTCTTTTAGCCACCAATTGCACATAGGGTACACCCATCATCACTCTGTGAGTGTCTCCTTTCATTGGTCTAAGCTCCTAGAGAAAGGAACCACAGCAGCCACCTCCAGAACTTGCCTGCACTGATCGGGGCTTGTTGTAGCAGAAACTATCATGGAATGTAACAATTTGCTTGGCCAGTCAGTGAAGCTGTGTGGACCTGCACACAAGTGAGGGCTTACTCAAGTTAAGCTGCAATGCTATCTAGTCTTTTGTTTTCTCCCCCTTCCTTCCACCCCCTTCCTTCTTGTCTCTGCATCTGTCTCTCTCTGTCTTTGCAAGCTGAGATTGAAGCCGGGGCTCCCCATGTGCCAACCACACATTCTACTATAAAGTAATATTCTCAGCCGTGATTTATTTCTTTAGCAATCTGGCACTCAAGTTAAGACAACCACTAAGGTATTGTTATTGCAGTTTTGTTTTTCATTTTAACTAATTTTGTTAGTTTGAGAACATTCCATCATAAAAAGAGGCTTTATGAAGGAGGGAGCCTGAAGAATTCCTTGCCTTTGGACAACCCTCAGTGAATTCTTTATTCATTTTGATATGGCAATTTCTCGACAGATAATACAGGCTCTCACAGATACTTTTTCAGTTTCCATGGTAACTAGGAACATGCACTGCTAACAGTGCTTGGGAGTAGCCAGCCCATGGCATTTTGCTACTGGGTTCCTCTGCTATGTTCTGTGTATGGTCTCAATCCTGTTTCTATCCACTCTGCTGGGAAAACCATACTCTACCACACAGTGTTGGAGCCCAGGGCCAGTGATGACCCAGACACCTTGTTGGGGGACTCCAGGCACCACGGGTAGTACTGAGATCCATTCTGAATGCCTGCCAGATTACTGGGAACCAGATATTCAGTGTGGTCCCTCAATAATCCAAACATCAGTGCCAGAAGGTCAGCAGAGACAGTACTTCCTCTAGCATGGAATAAACGCTCTGTAGGCCAACTCCTCTAATCAGTTATCACTGAAGGTGATGTCAGGAGGAGAAAGGTAAGTGAGACCTGCCAGAGTGACAATGGCATGCTAATGTAAATGCTTATCAAAGAATATCCTGCTGCTCTTTATTGATCTCTTGAAAAGGCCAATGACTTGAGGGTGAACTGTTAGCCAAGAAAAAGATGTATTGGGAAAGCTAACAAAAGCTGAGAGGCCATTGCTGAAGTTGACTGTTTTGGGATGCAGCTTTCACAGGCTTTGGAGGGGAGTACAGGGAGGAGGAGGTCATGGACAAGACTGGGAAACCCTTAGGTGATAATACAGTGACCTAGAAGGAGATGCTGCCTTAGTGACTTTTATCCTGGCATGAAGGGGAGGAAAGAGGTTAGGCAAGTTTAGGTCAAGTCCCCCTGACCCAAAGGTTAAATCTGCAAAGAGGAAGACACAGTATAAAGGCCTTTTCCTTCTGTTCTCATCACACATGAGGAACTTTTACAGACTCAATGGGAGAATTGGTAATTTCCGAAAAAACAGCCACACCTCTAAAAAGTAATGTAGGTAATCCTTACCATCCTGACCCACAAGCTCAAGGCTTTGTCAACAAAGCTAGTGGGAGATATAACAGACTGGCAACTGTGTAGCCTCCAAAATCTGTGCTTTGAAAACACTACTAAGCGCAAGTAAATCTAGGTGGTTAATTTTGGCTGTTCCTTGATTCTAATTCTGTGTGTAGAACCCTTCACAGGCTTTGTACAGTGCATCAAAATTAAGGTACCTACCTAGTAGGCAGTACCTACCTGAGCCTCAGAGAAATATGTGTGCCCAAGGCCACATTAAAGTCAATGATGAATGTAAAACTCAGACCCAGACAGTATGACAATACATTGGCTTAATTGTTTTAATTTTTGTTATTGCATGGTTTTCTCAAAAGTCTGTTTCCCAGAATAAGGATAATTCAGTTTCTTCATCTATATTGAGTGCAATGCATTCATATACATGTGCAAATATGCAAAACACCACAGCTTTCCTCAGAGGCTCCCGGGTGTCTCCTACCTATCCCTCTTACCCAGATGATAACAACATGGGGATATTGGTGTGCAGGACCAGACATAAGTAGTCAGCAGGAGACAGTCATTGTTGGACTAGCTGGACCACAACTTGTAAGCTATTCTAATAAATCCCTCTTTAAATGTATAGATTCATTCTATCAGTTCTGTTCCTCTAGAGAACCTTGACTAATGCAGATTGTGGTCCCAGGAATGGGGTATTGCTGTGACATTCCTTACCATAATGTTTTTGCTTTGTTGTGTTTTGTTATGTTTTGGAGGAAGACTTTGGGCTAGGAAAGTGGCTGAATGATGTAAGCAGGGATTAAGGGGCCATCCTAGCAGGAGTTTGGAAGACAGTGGTGCTGAGAGCAATGTGGACTATGAAGGTCCAGCTCAAGAAGTTACAGAGGGGAAACATATTAACAACTGGGCTAGGGGCCTTTCTTATCATGCTTTTTATTTGTTTTTCGTGACAAAGAATGTGGCTGCTTTTTGCCCTTGTCCTAAAATTTGCCTGAAAATTGGGAAAAAAATGGACTAATTTCCTTGGTAGAGGAGATTTCAAGACAGTGGAATCTGACTGTTTTATGCAGGTCTACAATGAAAAAGAACAACCTTGTTCAAAGGCAAAAAGGAATACAAAATGTACAGTTGGAGGAGAAAAAGAGCACCATAAAATTTAATGTTGCAACCAAAACTTTTGCTGAAAGAGATAAGTAGAGGCCCCATGTATTCCATTTCCTCGGGTCTCAGAAAAGACTATGGACTTGTAAAGTGTGCTGAGACTATGAAAGACAATGGGACTTTTGAAGTCGGACTAAATGCATTTTCTATTATGACATGGTCAGGAGCCTGTGAGGCCAGGCAATGAAGTGTGGTAGTTTGAGTAAGAATGGGTCCCATAGGTTCGTATATTCGGATGCAAGGCCCTCAGTTGGTGGAACTGTTTGGGAAGGATTAGGTCGTGTGGCCTTGTTGGAGGAGGTATGTCACCTACCCCTTTAGAGCAGCTGCTTGGCTATAAGTATAAAGATGTTAAATGTTCTTGATAGATACCAAGTCCTTGTTTGTTTCTCCTATGGTTTTTAATATTGAAACATTTTATTTTAAACATTTATTTAAAAAATTGAGACGTGGTCCAGCTAAGTTGCCAAGGGGTGCCTCCAAGTTCAGTCTTCCTAACTTAGCATCCTGACTAGCTGGGATTGTAGGTATGCACCACTATGTCTGCCATCATTAATATCAAAATTATTTTAAAAAATTTCTGCAGTGTAAGTGTATTAAAAAGTGCACAGACTACGTGTTCAGCTCACTAACTTCTCACTAAATAAACTCACCAATGCAGTTGTCATCCAGCTCAAGAGAAAGACAGGGCCCTAGATAAACCCCTAGATGAACAGTGTTAGAAGTCTAGCCATAAAATCTCACCCGGTGTGCCTTCACCTTCCACAGAGGTGTCTTGAGCTGGTAGAGATTTCACCTCCTACTATACTGAAAGCTCATGGAGGGCAGAACTCCAGTTGTATGTTAGCTTCTCTATAGGAAAGTGATCCAATCTTGAGTCAGTGACCAAGATCTCCACTCGGGCACCGAGGCCACACTGTTACTTCCATCCATCCTGCAGACACAGTGTGGTTTAGAGACAGGCGCAGTCCAGCTTGTAACTCGCCTGCCAGACACAGAGAGCATTTCCTTCAGCCTGGGAATAGCGCGTGCTGCAGACCCAGTCTCTGACCTCAGTGATACAGAAAGCACCTTATACATCAGGAGGGGGAGCAGAAAACACCCCTCACAGAATTCTGAGTCCTGCCTCACCCCCCTGGCAGCCCTCACTCCACAGGGAAGATGCTGGGCTGTCTCAGGCCCAGGTGGAGAGGACTGTTCCTTACTCAGCTGTCTCTGCTCTCCCACAGGCCCTGCCATCCCTGTGGGTGTGGACGTGCAGGTGGAGAGTCTGGACAGCATCTCCGAGGTGGACATGGTAGGCACTGCACCAGGCTGGCCGCTTCAGGGAGGGATGGCACTGCTGAGATGCTGAGAGCATGGGGGCCTCTGGGGTGCAGGTTGTGACTGTGAAAGCAGAAGGTGACCAGATTGGATCTTGGGATAGTTGGCCCAGGTACAGTGACATCTACAGCATGACCATTGTTTCCAGCAATAAAATTAGCTGGGGACTGCCTTCTAAACGCCCATTGCAAGAGGTCCAATCAGTCACACTCAGTGCTAGAGATGGTGTTTTCATTGAAATCCTTCACTGCTAGGATTTTCCATTCTTGTATGAGCACAGCTTTCCCCACCTCTACCCACCCCCATACTGCTTCCGTAGAAGCCCCTCCACAGCTCCACCCTCCATGTTCGTAGCCTTCCTTTGACCCTTTTGTGGAGCTCAGCCACCTTGAAGGGAGCTCGCCCTTCCATGCCCGCAGTTCTCTCTGTGTTTGGTGCACTGCTCTTTTAGGTTACAAACTTCTTCTGTATGTGGCCTTCCCCTTGTGCTGTGAGGAGGTTTCCTTCTTGTCTTTTATGTCTCTATTGATATAAAATTTCTTCAAAGGCTCCTCTGAGCTCCTGGTCTCAGGCTCTGTTTTTCCTTCATAACTTACATATGGGTCCTAGCTGT